TTTTTTTTACAAGAGCTAAAATTGTTGATGTCAATGATATTGATGTGTTTTAAGTACGGTACCGGTATGTTCATTTCATTGTCATCACTAAATGTTATTTCAACTATTTCTGGAGCGGCATATTGTGTCCCTACTTATTATGATACTTATTAGAAAATAAAATGAAACAAATAAAACGTGACATATTTTTTCAGCTAAACATTAATACACAACTCTGAGATCTAAAATATTTGAATAAGTAAGTTATTAATAAGTATTTGTTTATTAGAGAAAAACAAATGGATGTTAAAGTCTATGAGTGGAATTATATAAAGAAAATTAAACAGTCAAAAGAGCTAAAAATATATCACAATGTACAGTTAGAACAGCTGTATCTGACTTAAACATGGTTTATGCGGCTCATCTGCATGTCCATGTTGTTTACAGTTTTTTGACGAAACTTGAATGAACATTTTAACAAAATAGATTGAAACTTGTTACATAAGTAACAAAACTACATGAAAATAATAATAAAACTATGTGAACAGAATAAGAAAGCTATATGAAGAATATTATTATAATATAACACTACGAAAGAACCATTAAATATATATATTTATTTTAAATTTTATTTATAAAAATGAAGCTTCCCGACGAGGAATCGAACCTATGTCCGCCGAGTGACGGGCGGAGATACTGACCACTACACTACCGAGGAGATGTTTTCTCAATAACTTTGTATTTTATATTCATAATTTAATTTATCACATTCTGCGAATAATGTCGAGCGTTATTCACACAGCTCTGTGAATAACGTTTAGCGTTATCGGCAGAACGAAATCTGTGAATAACGGCGAGCGTTATCCGCACAGCTCTGTGAATAATCACTTCGTATAGTTATCGGGGGGGGGGGTGGGGGGGGCTAATTTAAAAAAAACAACCTACAGTAGCTAGGAGATTGGCCCTAGACATACCTATTATCCATCAAATCAACGAGCGAATAAAATCTTAAAGCGTCAATGTAACTTATTTTTTAATCCTTATGCGGTCTCGTCGTATCGTAAAGGAGATGACTTATTGTGACCTCCAGTTCCACCCCAGTTTGTGCCACCCTAAGAAGTCCTTGATTTTGTCGCTCCCCCCACCCATCCCCCATCCCTTACCCCCCGCCTCTTTTTCCAACTTAAAAAAGACTGACAATTAACAGGAAACAAAGATCGATTACAGTTACTGCTAACAGGTATATCAAGGAGTACGATGGAGAGATGAACCTCGAAAGGTTAAAAGGACGTATCTTATTTTAACTGTGGGAAAAGTATTCATTACTAGCAATAGCTTGCCAAACATTGACGACAGCAATGTTAAAAGGACGTATCTTATTTTAACTGTGGGAAAAGTATTCATTACTAGCAATAGCTTGCCAAACATTGACGACAGCAATGCGTGAACTTCCCATCCACTAAACCTAAGTTACTTGAATAAACATACACTCAATTAACGCACATTTAAAAATCCCCTGTTGGATCTCGTTTTCCGTGTGATCCCATTCAGGTTGGGATCTATTCTCTGTTTTGATAATGTCACCAGATTGGACCACGTTTTCTCAGTCGGATCCCGTTCCCCGCTAGGATCCTGTTCCTGTGATCACGTTCCCGGAGGGATCCTGTTCCCCGGTAGGATAATGAAGGGTTTTGGAAAATTTTTGCTAAGATCCATCAATACACGTAGTAGTGTATACCGTAATCTAAGTCTTCAACTTCATTTTTGTATATATTTTGGGCCATAATGCATGTTATGGACATTTAATTTGGGACTAGAGACGAGAAGGCACCTAGGTATTTGGCGGCATTGCCAGTGCCACTGGGTGTTTGGTGGCATTGCCAGTGGCGAGATAACCACTGGGTGTTTGGTGGCATTGCCAGTTGCGAGATGGCCACTGGGTGTTTGGCGGCATTGCCAGTGGCGAGGCTGCCACTGGATGTTTGGCGGCATTGCCAGTGGTGAGATGGCCACTGGATGTTTGGCGGCATTGCCAGTGGTGAGATGGCCACTGGATGTTTGGCGGCATTGCCAGTGGTGAGATGGCCACTGGATGTTTGGCGGCATTGCCAGTGGTGAGAAGGCCACTGGATATTTGGCGGCATTGCCAGTGGTGAGGCTGCCACTGGATGTTTGGTGGCATTGCCAGTGGTGAGATGGCCACTGGATATTTGGCGGCATTGCCAGTGGTGAGGCTGCCACTGGATGTTTGGCGGCATTGCTAGTGGTGAGGCTGCCACTGGATATTTGGCGGCATTGCCAGTGGTGAGGCTGCCACTGGATGTTTGGCGGCATTGCCAATGGTGAGATGGCCACTGGATATTTGGCGGCAGTGCCAGTGGCCATCTTTGGCGGCATTGCCAGTGATGAGTTGGCCGCTGAATGTTTGGTGGCATTGAACGGAACTTAGCCGATCCTGCTGATAGCAATGTTCACACCGAAAACATGGGTTTGCGAAGTGTAAACTTTGTCAGTTTGGATTATCCCAGTCATATCTTCATGAATTTGTGTTCTGAAACAAGTTCAGCTACCATAATATGTTTGTGACATTCTTGAAGATCATCGCAGATAACTATCCTGTTTGAATCACCTTAAATGACATGCTATATCTCTGATATAATAACTGTTGCTTTATTTTCGCTAAACATCAATGAATATTGTAAAATAATTTTAACATTTAATTTCTTGTTTGTTTTTATAAACATGCTTTTTTGAAAATTGCAATCTGGCATATATTTATAGGGTGAAAAATAAAAACAACGTAAATTATGCATTTATGGAGAGATCGTTTACGCTACACGGCTCAAATGGGGCTGTAAAAATGAAATAAAGAGAAAAGTTGTTGCTGTACAATTTAGTGATGTTAACTAATACTGCCTGAACTAAATATAATAAAGAATACACATAAGTTTACATGCGTAATACGAAATTCGATAATAAATTCTACGTATTTAAACTGCAGTTTTACCCTGAAATCAAATATACAGGATACTATTTGAATTTGTCAAAGTTGAAGATCTGTGTTGGTAATTTGATTTCAGGGGATTGCTCAATTCCAATACAACATTAATCTTTCCGAAAACGTTTTAAAAAAAAACAAAAAAAACCAACTGGTAGTTTGCTCAGGATCTTTAGCACAAAATAATGGCGTACCCAGTAAGTTGTAAAATAAAAATAATTTAGACCATCTTTAAAGATTAGTTGTTGAGTGTACTTGTCTTTTTCAGTAATCATGGCTAATCATGGTCATCATAATCAATCATACTTACTTCATACTCATACTGAATCATGAATCATAGTATAGTCGTTTAACTTCTAATCGGTAAATGTAAAGGACAAATGCCACTATTTTATCGATGGCCGCGACTAATGCCCTAAATCAATCCCTATGCCTAACCTGAACCCTAAATCGATCCCTATGCCTATGCCTAACTTGAACCCTAAATCGATCCCTATGCCTAACCTGAATCCTAAATCGATCCCTATTCATACTATGCCTAACCTGAACCCTAATTCACTGCAACTATAATAAACAAGCAAATGACACCGTGGCATTCGTGCTTTACATTAGTATTAGCCTTCTAATCTAAGTCAAGTCGTTGTCCGCGTTAGCCATGTAAGTTTTACTTGTAAAAAAAGTAAAATTGTTGTATTCCTCTAACTTAAACTCAAGTACGTTCTTACCAACTGATTCTTACACTGACTTCACTGAGACTGAAGTGTACTGTTGACTTACTTAAAGTTAAATGGTTGAGTGCACCACTATAAACTATAAATTATACCTCCTACTATTATAAAAAGCCATTTAGTCTAAAGGATCCCGGGTCCGAATAGCGGACCTATAGCGGACCTGGGTCCCCTTAGACTAAATGCTATTTGGATGTCATTTGTGGTAGTTTATTTTAGATAAACTGAAGAAGTAACTTTACAATTATTAATTACCTTTGATTTGATACCAAATTTTGTCTTACAAACCCAACAAAAATATTTTTAATATTTTTTTATAAACCCAACCTCTCACTCTTTTCCCGGTCTGAATCCCGGGTCCAAATAGCCATAAACATATTAAAAAAAAAGTCAAATCTAATCTAAATTCCGAACTGAGTGACCTGATAAATTAATTATCATCATATTTATTACTAGACCTGGACTCAATGATCTGGATATAGCTGGACCAAGCCTAACCTTATCTTTCTATTGCTTAATTTATAGATTTAAAATTATGATTTTTAAAGTGCCTTATGCTCAGTTTGTGGGGGTGGGTTGACAGAATGTAGTGTCGAGATCCATTATATTTGATTTAATTTATATTTATATGAATTTTTTGGTTGTACTGATAAAGGGATTTGCCAAAACATTTAAATTTGTATTCAATATTATTAAAGCTGAACGTATATTGTTATGTATCAGGTATTGTTTGTGTCTAAATAATCTATTAAATATAAGTCAGTGCTGGTACCAAACTGTATCCATAAAAAATGAGATTTGTTCTTACTGTACTAATAGATTTCAGCTGCTGCTACAATCTGATGAAATGTGACAATCTGATCTTGTTGTGTGGAACAGTGACTTGTGTAGAAGTAGAACTAATATTAGTTTTGTGGCTACCACCAATTATCTCCCCTTTGTTTTGTTTTGATATTGACGTCACTGATTACATGTGCTGTGCCACTCCTTTAACACACCCTTCTCTTGATTGGGAAAAGGTTGTTAACATTCAAATACATTCTAATTGTTCTAAAGAATGCTATCAGGTGATGCAATTTCTATAATTTCTTAACTAGAGTCTAGAGCAAGGGTCTCAAACTAAAATTATCTGGGGGCCATAGGAGGTAGAGGTTAAGTGGGACTGGGCCGCAACAAGTATTCCACAAAAAAAGCTATTACAAAACCAAGTGCGATTGTTACACTCTGCTCAACCTTTATTAATAACAAAAAAAACCATTAAGGGTTCTCAAGAACTAGGCCGTCACATTTCTTTATCATTGTTATAGGCGTTGTAAGAAAAAAAATTCCTGGTGATCTCAAGTAAAAGTATTTAGCTAATAAATGCTATGAAAATAATGAGCTTCTGCTAAGACGAAAAAGAATATGATAAAACCTTATTTGTAAAGTAACCAAGCTGACAGGCTCACTGGTCACTCATACACACTTGCGGCAATTTTAATAGGGATTCTTTGATACTGTGACAGATTGCTACAATTTATACAATTATGGTTGTGCATTGCCCACTAACTGACTTTTTAAACGTTTGATATATGTATATTTAATATTCGAAGCGTGTTTTCTAAAAGCGTGTTTGTCTCATAAAATGCTATAAAATGAAATCTTTAAGTCCGATTATAAAACGGGTTTTACCTTTAACTTTATAATCAACGTCCAAACCTATACAAACATAATAAAAATCAAAATTAGACTAGTCGGTGAGATTCGACTGTTGAGGAGGGTCACATAATAGATATGAGAATTGGGAAAACGCGCGGGCTGCATTAACAATAAACTTTGCTGTCAAGTAGCGGGCCGCAAAATACTTGGTCTTATGGGCCGCAAATTGCCCACGGGCCGCTAGTTTGAGATCCCTGGTCTAGAGGGTTCTTATTTAATCCCCATGCATAGGCCGGTAGCTTTCCAAGCCATGAGTGATTATTGTTATATTTCCTAGACATACGAAACGTTATATATTTGCAAGATTGTACTTTGTGTGTTTCAATTAATATTTGTATCTTTCGAGGATTGTACCTTTTCATTTGTTGTACTGTATGTAGATATTGTTTTTTGTTTCTGTATATTTGTATTTTTATAGAAATTTAGTAGTATAATTAAAGTGAATATTGTTAGACTCATTAGCTTTGGTATCATTTTCATTGTATATTGGTATTCAGTCCTTTGTTATGTACCAGTATCATTCATTCTACAAGTACAAGCCAAATCTTAAAACAGATTAAATTTTCAAAACCATTTATCTGTACGTAACAGAATGTATAGTAAGAACCCAAAATTGTGACTCTATTTTTCACAAATTATTACAGTGGCTTCATTTAATTACTCCTTTTGTCATTGCTTTCTATAATTAAATCAAGATACTTAGAGAAAATTACAAACATTTCCTATGAGTGACCCATTCATAAGTCACCATCATACAGCCTACCCATTAATTTGAATGATTTCATGATAAGGTCATTGATATTAGTAATATTCATAATCACTGTAAATAATAAATGGACATTATTCATGATAGTCATATTACTCATATTTGAAGTCTACTACAATAATAAAGTAGTCAACAGTTTTAGCTGCTGTTTTTTTGGTGTTTTTTTTTTACACAAACTTGCAGCCAAACTATCCTTTATAAAAAGGTGGCAATGATTTGTATTTGGAATCACCATTGGCTTCAATATTAACACCAAATCCTTGATGTATTTGAATAGGGTCAATTTGGATTTGGTGGCCAGCAGGTTCCAGCTGGTGCCTATGGAGCTGCCCCTGGTTATGGGGCCCCTCCTTATGGTGGAGGGATGAGTGGCTATCCTGGCCAGCAACCTTATTCTGGAGGTCCACCAGGTAAAAGTATGGCATCATTTGATACATCTTTAAACCCTAAGTTAAAAAAATAAATGTCAGTTTTCTCATATATTTTTAAGAAAGTGTAGAGGGACATTATGTTTGCGCAAGATCCTAAAAATAAAGTGTATAAAAAGATCTCAAAATGAAATCACATGTGAAGGAGCAGGCAGTGATCTCAAGGAGCATGAAATACAGAGACGGAAAATAGATATGAAGAAACCAGAATCAAATAATGCAAGACACTCTATGTCTTGGGTTACACAGGGCAAAAGAAAGAGGATGTGACAAAGGATGGGAGGGGTTCCTGCCAGAGACAGTGAGAGAAAGTGGAAAGAAGTTGTGAATGGTGCATCCAATCTCTGACAAGGGGGAGAGGGCTAAAATGAAGCTTTTAAGCCCATTGGCCTGTTTAAAGTGACCCATTATAAGGGTAGTATCTAAAAATTGCTTTCGGGGGATAGTGTGCCATTGAATGTTGGGTGGCGTCTACTTTAATAAGATATGTAAATAACTATCGTAACAGTCCATGAAATACAGACAGCAGAATAAATCTGAATTGGAAGTAGATTATTGGACATTTTAGTTGGTAATAAACCATAATTAACATTCCTCTTGTGTAAATCTAAACAAGCAATACAGTGTCTTCAGGCCTTTTGTAAATTTTAAAGCATGCTATTGCTACAATGAAAATTTTTTCCTTGTAAGGATCATTTTCCTTACTTTGTGCAGTTGTGAAGATTCTTCAGAGGCTGGTCACCTATGAGGATTTATTATCATTATTCTTTGCAGCTGAATGGTTTTAATTAAAAATGGCTGAAACTAAAAAAGAAAGTTAGGACTTAATGTTGTGAGAGTTTCAAACTGTCTAAATTACAGAATCCTCATAGAATATTTAGGGATCATATTTGGAGCATCACAAACACTATGGCAAATTTTCAACAGTGACATTATTATGCCATCTTTTGGCTCTTGTGAGCTAAAATGACATTTGCATGTCTACTCTGATAAAACATCTGCTAACTCTGCCTCACACCCAATGCATCAGCGAGAGACCAGTGCTTATGAAATAAAGGTTGATAAAGAAGCAGACTGAGTGATGACACAGTTAAATTTAGTTTTCAGTGTCAATTTAACAGACACATGTTGTTTGCAATTTATATCCAATCCAGACATCATAAAAATGGAAAATGATTGCATGGATGCATTTTAAACAGATTTATATTGTTCATGTAATCCGATTCTGTGCTCAAGAATTATTAAAACTTATTACAAGGTTGCTATAAGTGTGTGACATTTATCTTTAATTTTAGGATTGATCCCAGATACACAGTGTAGCTGTCCCCTCATGAAATTAAAAGAAAACAACCCACCTCACTATGAGTATTATATAATTTAAATTTGTTCACTTGGAAGACTGCTTTCAGTAAAAGAAATTTTATCCGTCTGCAGCCTATGGACAAACACCAACAATCGACCCACAGATTCAGCAGTGGTTTATGTCAGTAGATGGTGACAGATCAGGAAGAATCACTGCATTGGAGCTGCAGAGAGCACTCGTGAACACCAACTGGACGCAGTTCAATGAGGAAACCTGTCGACTGATGATTGGTGATTTTAACTGAGGATATCTTTTTCAGTTTTCATTTATTCCCCATTTCATTCCAACAGCTTGAGGGCAGGGGAGTGGGGGGATGTACTTTCTGATAATAAATTAAATATGCTGTTCGCCACCAATGAATATTGAGTACTGCTTATCTTAATAATCTTATAAAAAAGAAAGATCTTGTCTAAAAAATTTTTTTACAAATAGAAAAAGTATTGTTCCACAATTAGCGTAAATTAAATATGCATTGGCAGGTCAGCAGTTGTGATAGTTCCACTTAAAAGTGCTTTCTAATTTATGTACTTATATTACACTCTTCAAGATGCAAATTAGAGTGGAAAGATTTTTGAAAATACAATTTTAAGAACTGTATTCAGATCATTTTAGCATGCTCCTGAGGGCTGCGTAGTTTCCTTCCTGTAGGAAGTAATGAATCATTGCATCTGTTTCCACTTGTACATGCCATGTGAGCAGAACCATTGCATGGGACCTTCAACCCCTGCGGCTGTAGGGGGCCTCAGGTTATAAAGGGTCTAAGAGTTGTCATGTGCTGTGGGAACAAATTTTAACCATCTAATTAAAATGCAGGGCACAAAACCGAAAAGTAGCATGGGGCTCCAAACTTCACATGATCACTCTGCTTGCAAGGGATACTTTTTGGGAGGAGGAGAAGTGGTGTGGACAGTTTTATGATTTTTCCATTTTTAAGACAAATATTTTTTATAGATGATCACATTTTTAATTATTAGGATTATTATTGTTGGGCCTAAATGCCATTGCTACAAAGTGGTAATTTCTTGTATGATTATTGACTTAGTGTGTCCAAAAGATAATATAAGAGGGACCCCATTCAACCTGTGTTGAGTCAGTAGAGAGTGGAACAAAGTATGTTTAGGCTGGACTGGAAAAAAAGACATGAAAAAATACAAGGACGTATCGGCTAAATGCCTTCTTCAGCAGACAAAAAAAAACAAGACACAAAAAATAAATAAGAAATTAAAAACTTGCGTGTTCGAAGATTCTGAATCTCATTGTCTCTTTTTCTAAACAGACGCTTCAGAGAACTACATTGAGATCAGAATCTTGGAACACATAAGTCAAGAAGATAAATAGTTCACACATAGAGCTGCTAGGTGAATAATGCTAGCTTATGACATACATTCCAGAAATGATGAGGGTATACTTTTAATATATATACAAATTGAGCTGTTAAGTGTACATTAAAATTAAAGCCTTTAGCCCAATTGAAGATACCCTGATTTTTTTTCTCCAGGAAAATGATATAAAATCTTCTGCATAACATAAACAATAATTTCAAGATCAAAAGAGGTCTTAAAATAAAGACATAGCTAAAATCTCAATCATTAATGAACAGGTATGTTTGACAAGGACTTCAGTGGAACAATAGACCTGTATGAATTTCAATCCTTGTGGCACTACATCCAACAGTGGAGAGCAGCCTTTGACCGCTATGATGTCAATAAGTCTGGTTCTATAGAAGGTCATGAGCTACAGCAAGGTCAGTGTACACATTGTCATTGTTTCAAGTTATATATACTAAAATTACATTGTTATTACTTAAGGTTATATGGTTAATTTTTCATTACTTAAAGCTATTTCTCTAGACTAGTTACTCTGTTATTACGTAAGGTTATATACGCTACAGTTATTTTTTTATTTAAAGTTAGATTCTTTGAAATTACTTTTTTTATTTATGATTCTTTATTGAGTCCTCTAACGAGAAAACTGGAAAGTTTCTTTAAGATACTTAGCTACTAACAATCTGACTAACACTAGCACACCGCGATCAAGGGTCTGTAGCTGAAATTTAATTGTTTTTTAACAAAAATTTCTTTATGTTATAATCAGGAATTAAGTAAGAGGCAATCCATATATTGGGGAGGGAGGGATTAAGAGATTTTCTATATGTATCAATGTGAGGTGGGGGAAGGGTCTGGGCAGAATGTGCACATACATTTGAGCACAAATTCTGCCGTCTATAATTACCTGCAATTCTGACTGTTCGTAAACTTTCTTTTTTATATCTCTAATTAGTAGGCTATAAAAATATCACTGCATTGTTTCGTAATCCTCATCATACTGTTGTTTTGTGTTTTCACAAATGAATTGGCTAGACATTGCAACTGCGATATTTAGCCTAGCCAGACCCTGTTTGCCTTTGTAAAGTACTTTAATACTCCTTATTGCAAATAGCCAGTGGCATCTCAAAAGGCGAAGAAAATAGTTTAGGTGACTTATTGATTATTGTATTTGCTTTGTACATAATAAATGTCTATAAATAAATTTAATCTGGATATGGGGATGGGGGGTTAAAAGGCTAAACAGCATGGGGGTGTGGCTGAAAAATGGGTGCAAAAAGAGGGGAAAATAAACTTTTTTAAAAATTATTCAATGTTGATGTCAATTAAACACTCTCAGTTACACTTCTCAATCCCGATTTCTAAATTTCTAGTTATAACTCTGTTTCTTGGTTTCCACAACATTGTGAATTTTATTAAGGGGTCACGACACTAAAAGTGTCGAGAACCTCTAACATAAGAGATGACACAGTTTGCCCATAAGATACAAATCAGATAACATTACACAGCCACAATGTATTTGACCTGGGTGCATTGAAACATTTTGCTAAAAATTAGACAGAGATGTGTCAACTGAAGAGGTTTTTTTATGTTGTCTTTCCACAATTTTCATCTGCAGCCTTCCAACTCATGGGCTACAATGTATCACCCCAATTTGTGCAGACTGTTGTGATTAAATTTGACCACTACGGACGTCGCAGTCTGACCCTGGACAACTTCATCCAGTCCTGTGCCATGCTCAAGTCACTGACGGACGCATTCAAACAGAGGGATCCCATGATGACTGGCGTGGCCAGGTTGTCCTATGAAGATTTTATGCAAACAGCTGTTATGTATAAACCATAGGGCCTAGGGGAAGTAATAAGATTGTGCTGATCGTATATCTTAATCATAGGTTATAGTTCTTGAGCTGTAAATGAATTAAAATAACTACTACTACTACTACAAAGTTTCCATCAGTGTAAAAAAGTAAATTTTAAATTATTTCAATACTTAAAATGCATGTATGTTTTACAGTTCATTTTCGTATTCTGCTGCCTGTTTACAGTGAAGTTAAATTGATGTCCTATATATCTATCCAATATTAATATCCAACATGAATATGTTGGAAATGCAGCAAATTTTTTTTGTATGAAGGATATTGGGCATTTAAATGGAAACGTTTGATTTTTATGCTAGTCAAAGGATGTCAATCATATTATAAAAAGCAGTGTGTTTGATTGATGCACTATACCATAGCTTCAATCACATCGGGTTTAATTGTGTCCTCTCCCTGGGAGAAAGTTGGCTGGGCAGTGAATCTGAGCTGAAACAAGGGAGTGGGCACCATTAAATTAATTGGTCAATTTCACCCATTCTCACCTGAGCTCATTTCTCCATACCAGCAGAAGGATTTTCATTGAGGTACCTGCATTTATAAAAATATCAATGGTGAAATATTAACATTTACATTCAAAATATTTCTATGCTAACTTGACTCCACCTTCAATTTAAAGAACACTTTACCTATTTATAACTATTGCTTTACATCTGAATTACTTGTATTACCTCTGAAGATATTATCACTGCATGAAAGTTCATTGTTAGATCAGGGCGCCTCGTCAGACTTAGTGTGTTGATGATACGTTTTATACAGTACATTACATTTGTATTGTATTTTGTATACCACCATTTATCAACGATGAATGGCTGCTACAATTTGTGGGGTCTGTTGTTGAGGGCCACTGTCATGCTTCTTGAAATAATCCAGAAAGTTGTGGGACCCTCCCTGTAGAAACTGACCCAGCTTTACACAATGGTTTCTTTTGTTAGTGAAGTTGTTTTTGTTATGTGTGACGAAACAAAAACAACAGTTGAAACTGCATTTACTGTAATGTGTTTTATGTTTTTTTAGAAGTTATATCTCATTAGTTTCAACTAGTTACAAGTAAATAATCTCTGCTACGTCCTCGCTAGGTCAAAAATCAACATTTAACTTCATAAATTATTATTTTTTCGTGTACCAGGTAAAGGAAACTGAGTCACTATTCTGTAACTGCTTTAGGCATAAGAAATCAGGTGGAATATATGTGTAAATCAAAGTTCAAAAGAACTATGAATTGTTCCATTTCAAATGTTAAGAGTGATCATCATCTATTGGTCCCACATTGCAGTATTTATGTGTGCCAAAAATGGCCAGTAAATCAGCCTACTTCAGTATGTATGCACTTGCTTTTGTTTGAGGACAGCTGTCATCAGTAGCTCCTCCGAGCACAGGCGTAACCAAGGCCATGTTGCACCCACGACAGGAACTAAGCTTGAACCCACTTTTTTGTATGTAACCAAGATTTAGACCCCCCCAAAAAATTCAAATCAAGGAAGGCCTACACTGAACACAGTCATAGATGAAGATGCTAAAAGTTCACTAAAAGTAAAAGAAATATTTGTTTCTTATTGAAGCTTACGTGTTGCTGAGATATAAATAAAAACACTAGTGTTCAAGTAAGATGTCTACATGCAACTAAAATTAGTTATTTTAATTTGACATTGATGGTCTTAGTTTGTGAGCACTGGTCAATAAGTCAAGTCGTTCTTATTTTCTTCTTGTTATACGGTACTCCTAATAAAGCAAGATCCAGTGGCGTAGCGAGGGTGTTTGGTGCCCGGGGACAAGATTCGCGCACGCGGACAAGATCCATTTTTAGCGCCCCTTTTTCTTTTTTTCAACTCTCAAACCCATTATTTTCATCCAATAAAATAATATCAAAGCACATTTTGGCGCCCCTAACTAGCTGGCGCCCGGGGACATCTGTCCCCCCCTGCCCCCACCACGCTACGCCTCTGGCAAGATCAAACAGTCTTTCCAACCCATGGAAGCTCCCAGGTAGTTAAGTTAGTGGACAGCATGTTAGCTTATTCAATACAGATATTTCTAACTTAGATAAGCAAATACTAACTTTTTAATGTATAAAGATCATTATTTTCCCGGTTTGCCGATTTGGCCACACCCTCAGTGTGCTAGGCAAAAAGGATGTAATAGTTTTTCAGTTTCTCTTGCACTGCTGAGTTCATGTTTCAGGACTCAGCCATCTTATTCTCACTCACTGACTACTCAGTCTCAAACAGTTCGGTTTGTGTCAATGTCATCTTTTTAAAAAAAAAATCCAACACAGCTATTTAAAAGAAGAAAAAAAAAAAAGGTACTTTAAGACTTTGAATTTTGTTTGAGAGCCATTTGAAATTCTTATCAGATGCAATCATGTAAAAGGGTTTTTGGCTTTTAAGGTTGAAATAAATTGAACTTTCTATGTACGAGACGAAAAGATCTTATTTTAATTAACATTGTTTAAGTGGAATGTTCCCTCTATTGTACACAAGGTGCAAAGAAATTGTTATGTGGTGCTTATTTCAAGATTTTTTCTCTCCATTTTAAATTTGGCAATAGTTATCCAATAAAATCATTCACAAATTTAAAGAAAAAAATCTAATTTTTATGTGCACCATTTCAAAGCTCTTGTTTTCTGCTTTAGAATGACACTCTTGTGCACTGTTTTATTAGTACACTGTCTTCATCATAAGAGCAAACGTTGCCATAGACTTAAAATATGTTAATTAATACGGTAATTAATATGTAATTGTTTTGTTTGTGAGAGTTTTCTAATAAAACAATCTATTGAATCTTCTCTGAAATTTAACTTTTTTTTAAATTAAAAGACAAAAAAATACTGTATTGAGAAATCTTATATAACTGGTTCTTCACTCATATTAAAAAGAGATTATAAATTAACCTAAATATCATGCAATTAAATTGATTTGGTGGAGTCACTTAGGTCTCACATGGAGATTTCATCGACTACCTATTTAACTTAAAGCCCAATAAATCAGGTCTTGGAAAATATTTTTTATCTCATAAAACTCATCTTACTTTTACCCACCCATGCACTGTTACTGTTAATGCAATGAGCAGATGAATAGCATTTTTTACTCATCCATAACCAAACTACCGGTAACCAGGGTTTAAATAACTTTGAGGAATCTGTTGCAATCACCTTGAAATGACAACTGAAACCATATGATCTACAGATTTATCCATATCAAGTCCAAACAATATAATTACTAACATGAACTCAATGGATTAGGTAAGATACACAAAAAAGAATTTTACAAACTGAAAACAAGACTAAAATTGAAGTATTTAACTTTATTTATATTAAAAAAATGGCTTGGAATGTTTATTATTATTACTTGAAAAGTGTAGAAAGGTATTTTAAAACCTGAATGAACGCTTACTGTGTTATAGAGAAATAAATTATTTTGAATGAACGCTTACTGTGTTATAGAGAAATAAATTATTTCATTCTTTCAACGGAGGATAAACAATTTTTTTTAAAAATATTTATATGCAATTCCAGAATATTTTGTTAGTACCATAACAAAGAGTAACAATCTTTGAATTATCCCCCTCTGTTCAACACTGTCCTATGATTTGGTAAGGCTCACTGTGGGAATCTTGAACATCTACTTGATAACACAACACAGCAATGTAACATTTACTAAGATCACTAAATTAAATAAATATTCCTTCAAAAATTAATTCATTGTTCTCTATTACTGCAAAAAACCAGAAACTCAACAGGGTCAAGGCTTATATCTTATATTTTATATACAGAAAATGGAATGAAAAAAAAAAATGTTTAAGGTACATTGCATCCTATTTACAAGATCATATGATAAAAAATTCTTTACAGTAAACAATCTTTTAACAAAATATAGTGAGATTGTATTTTAAACCTGGTAATAAAAAACCAGCCACTCACAACATACGCTCATTTAATTTTTTTTAATGCTCAGGATACCACACAGAAAAATACCTTTATCTGTCAATATCATTGTTTTAAGGTCGCAGACTTGTACACACACACACAAAAAGCAGAGCATTTACATATATTCAATGAGTCTATAAACACCACACTCACTCTCAAAACACCACACATGACAGGCACACACACTAAATCAATTTCATCAACATTCTTGCACTCAGACATCCTGTATTTTAAGCGATTAAAATCTTGGATTGGACTTGACGCTGTATGCCGGACCCCTGTTGGCCTTTTCCTCCTCCTCCTTGATCCGCTGGTAATCTGTGGTCAGGCACATGGCGGCAAAAATGGAAAAGAAACCAGACAAAACGGCGAATCCAAATGACCATGAGAGGAAGTTAGAGTCCGGGTTGGGCAGCCACTGTCTGTCAATGTCGGCTTTGATACCAAATATTGTCACGGAGACCCCAATCAGCAGGACTGGGATGAAAGCAACAATGAAGGAAAATAATGAATTAAACAGCTACTCCTTTCAACATTAACATACATAACATTGAACATTACTATTAGATGAGATTAGAAAAAATCTTTGTTTTTTAACCATGTGTACACTGTAAGGTTCAAAGTTTTTATACGATACACTTGAACATGAAAATTTACAAGTGTGCACAAAACACGGCTTTATAAGTTACACAAGTAAACAACATGAATCACATCAACTCACATGACACAAACATCATAATGGCTGTGGTGTAGACATGTTTTCTCTCCTTCTCCTTAGGAAGACAACGCACATAGTACATGATGTTCATGACAACCGTGATAAACTGCAGCATCAGACCCAGGGTGATCATGATCTGGACGGCCAGGAACCACGCTGTCAATATATTCAAAACAGTTGAGTTACCTGTGCACGACAGTCACAACTACTAGCTGCATTTATGACCTTTTAACTACCCGGAAGGGAACCATATTACAAAAATTAGCGGGCTTCAAACTCAGGGCTTTTAAACATATATTTTACTTCCTTACTGAGACCGAAAGGTAAACCTCTAATAAACCTTTTCTTTGTACAAAATTTTTATTGATTCTGAATTAAATAGCTTTAAATGAAATGTGGAGAGCTTTGAGTTTATTGCTAATAATGTTTAAAAGAGTTTCAATTATCAATATTTCGACTCTTGTTCTGATTTTGACGATCACTAAGAGGTAACAGGTTCTAATTCTTCAGTGGTCATTCCCAACTGTGGATAAATATTTGGGGGAATTTAAACGTTAGCCCAATAAGTATAAGGGCAGTATGACAATAATGGGGGGAGGTGGGGTTAAAATACAACAACCCCCATAAAGTCAGAAGAGAACAGCCAAATTTGGTAGGTATAGGATTTTTTTTCTTCTTTTTTTTTTTCTTATAAGACCTACCTTATCCTTATTTCAAAATATTTCATTAAGTTTAATTTAATTAAGGCTAATTAAATCCCAACGAATCCATGTGATGCTCATTGTGATGAAAATGAAAAATGGTATTTATTTGACATGACTTTTCATTTGCTGATTATTGATTATGGCAATTTATACTTTTACCATCTCATTGAGTTTGAGATCATGGCATATGAATATAAATAATGAGAAGGCCTGCCTATGGACCACTATTAAACAGTAGAATTACACTTGACTTCGACCTATCACCTAAGCTAAATTTGACAACCCACTGACTGGCTATGCTCTACAACATCTTAAGTCTTAAAAAGACAAGAATCAGAGATTCTCAGATTCTGAGAGATCTACACCACACTTACTGGTGTGTTAGAATTGCTCTGGACTCTGGAAGAAGAAAAAAAAGGGGGGCTCAAAACATCATTGGCATTGGATAATCTATACACATAATCAATGACTCGATTATTTTAACACCAGCCTACAGACCTGTTTACTGGTACGATTTTGGCGTACAGTGTACGATTTTGAGGTGTATACATTATATATCCTGATGTCTGATGTTTATTTTACTTTTAAGATAATGTATTGATTGATTTTGTGATGATATTGTACGATTTTAAGAGTTTGAGGGTAAACAGGTCTGAGCCTACGATTGATTGCAACTTACGAGGGTTCAGCCAGTGCCACACAGGTCTGTACTCATAGTGAAAAATCCACCAGCATCCGTTATATTTCTTGCTGAGGTAGTCCTTGTAGAATGTCCAGTCGTTGAAACAAGCCTCCCACAGACCCATCCTGACGAAGACCTTGGTCATCCTTTTGTGTGGGAACCTCTCCAGCCAGTGTGGCGTTGCGAAGGCCACGACGATACAAATGAAGGCACTTATTGTAAACAAAAGGCCGAAATTGGCAATAAAGCGCTTCGCTCTTGTAAGCGCCATATTGGAAGTTTACAGGTGAAGAAGTATCAACTGTTTCCTCATTGAGCCAGGAGAGTAAATTATCTATCTAGGACTTTGAAGGGGTGAAAATTAATAGAAAGTTATTCGTATTTTTTGAGATTTGATTTTAAGGCATCAATAAATATAATCATTAAATAATTCTATACAAAAGCGGGAAGGTTTTAAAAATATATATGTGACTTTAATTTTAGCTATTTTTTTAATTTAAATTGAGTAAAGCAACGCCAAGTTGGCAATGTTATATTTTATTTACCTGAGTTCAGGAGAACGCGGAAGCGGAGTGAAAACGAGGCTAGGTACGGGCTAAACCATTTTTAACAGGTGACAAACTTTTAGGGGGGTTATAATTTTCTCACGTTAAATTTTAACAGAAATGCCTATTTATATTGTAAAAAAATTTCTTAACCTTTAATTATTTATAAATTAAATTAGTTTTTAAATGAATTTTCGATTTAATGTATATTTTATTATAAACAAAATACATTATTCAAATTATTCATTCACCTACTTTACCCTGTAGGTGAGAATTCCTCCAGAGGCAAACAGGAAATATAGAAGTAGAAGTTGACTAGAGACAAATTTAGGCAAAATGGCGACAGAAAAGCTTCACAAGGTTGCCTTTATAACAGCCATTATCGCTTTCGTCGCAATGTTTGTGGGGTTCGCTTCACCATTTTGGTACAAGTCCTGGACACGTGTCTTTAGTCCCTTTGGTACGATTGGATTATGGCACGTCTGTTTGAACGGGTTTATCAAACCAAGAGATCCTGTCATGAAGTCATACGTGGGTTGCTGGTGGATTCATTCAACAGAGTTTTCAGACATTGAACATTCTCTTCAACCCGGTAATCTATTTTAAATTATATTTACTTATTCTGTACCGTTGCTATATCAACTGTGTCATACTATGACAATGACATTCTTACACTCCAGCAATGTGTACTACAATTAAAACAAGGGTTATTCTTACACTACTACTACAGCTATTTGTACTACAATTAAAAAACAAGGGTTATTCATCAAAATCAAAGTGTACAAATATGATATGATTATTATGACATGATGATTCCATTAAATTGAGAGAGTTAGTGAAGTGATAATGTTGAGATTAAAGTAGACTAGCTATATAATGTTATTAATAATATAATACAAAGTATACAAATAAAAAACATTATGGTTCCTGATATTTGAAATTATTAAACATCAAAGTCAAAGAATGAAAGTTGAAAGTCTCTAACATTAAGATTAAGGATTAGGTCTTAGGCAACCAGTATTATATGATTAGAATTGGTTTGGTAATCATCAATGTTTAGTAATATTAATATTAGACACTTAGACTTAGTCTGCACAAAATTAAGGTTTGAGGCACATTGTCATTAATCATTTAATAATACATATGAGGGTAGATTACAAAAAGTAAAGATATTAAGGCTACCTTGCATTTAATTTTAATGACTGTATAATGCATTTAATTTTAATGACTGTATAATATTATAAGTAAAACCCCAATTGTGGTGTTATTGTGCAATTTAACTGGCTAATTATTAAAATAAGAATTGTCTTGTGTGCTCTATCAATTATTGTCTAAGGTTTCCAAACAATTGAGGTTATCCTTGTCCAGTTGAAAAATGAGATGGACTGTTACTTTAAATTTCAGAGCCAGGAGGCATGATTTAATTTCTTTTCTCCACACATTCCATACGGGTAGACTTTTCATGTTTACTCACACTCACGCTAGTTTTTAGAAAATTATGAACATATGGATATTCCATTCAACAAGTGATTATATAATACAAATGTTAATTTTTAAAAATAGATGTCATTTTGATATGAGGATATCTCATTTGAACAAAGTAAACAATGACTTCTGTACCGTTCAAGTTATTACTTTAAGTGAAATCTTGCATTAATTTTTTTATCCCTAGTATGGTTTCGATTCGTCCAGGCCTTCAGCATCTTCGCCTTGTTTGGCGACCTGCTAGGAATGATCTTCACCTTGCTGTACCTCCCAGAAGGGACGAGGGGGTCACTGTACAAGAAAAGACCGCGCATGTTTTTTATCAACAGTGGACTGATGTTAGGAGCAGGTCGGCAGAAATTTAAATTGATAACAATTAGTTTTAAAATGTTTACTTCTAGAAGACTGGAATGGGTCACCCTTCCCTGTGATTTTTATGAGAAAACTAATTTGAATATCATGAACAGTTGTTATTCCATTGTGTCTGGAAAACTAAAAAGCACTTTTAAAAAAAAAGTTTGCATCATCCAAGACCCGATTGGGATTAAATATATACCCAGATGTGTGATAAGTGAAACAATTGCCTGAATAGATTTCAATTAATTTTTATATCATCATTTTGAAAATAGAAATGATTCTAAATGTAAAAATAAAACTAATGGTTAAAATAATTGATTGTGAGGTTGGGTGGTTAAATGCTGTTTCCTGTTCATTGTGCTTCTTATCACTTGTATGTCAGGATGACACTTGTAGATTCGGATGACACTTGTATGTCATGGTGTCACTTTTAGGTGGGTGTGACACTTGTATGTCAGGCTGACACTTTAGGTTGGGCTGACACTTGTATGTCAGGGTGACACTTTAAGTTGGGTGATACTTTTAGGTAGGTGTGACACTTGTATGTCAGGGTGTGACATTTGTACGTCAAAGTGACACTTGTAGATGGGTGTATAAATTGTAGATATTTGTGACACTTATAGGTGGACGTGTTATGTGAGGTGGTTGTATTAAGTTTAGGTGAGTTTGACACTTGTAGGCGCATATTTACATCTACTTGACTGTGACAGTCATAGGTGGGTAGATAAATTGTAGTTGAGTATGAAAGTATAATTAACAAAAATGTTGGATTTCTTTGTTTGGACATGTCACATTTTATTAGTTTAAAGTAACCTCACGAGCTCATAATGCCGCCGCCCCCCCTCGCCACCAGACCATGCAGTGGCGCGCTGGGAACCTCCCCCATGGCTTTGGGGACGTCCGGTCGTCGGAAAGCGCTTAGTTGAAAGCGTTCTCAGCCGAATTTCCCGTGGCTTGGGCAGGTTTGCTTCCACTCCAGAGGGAAGGTGTTGCGTTACCAACCCCACCGCCCAGGGAGTTTTTCTGTCGGGAAGGGAAGCCGGGACGAAACAGTTGTTTAGGAGTGGCTTTCTCACGGCCACGTACTCAGTTACACATGTCAGATTCTCCTCTAGTGACAGATTCTCCTATTTGTTCCACAGCATTCTTAGTGTTCCTAGTTGCGCTTGTGTTTGCTGAGATGAGCAACGACTCTGGCTGGATGCCCAGGCCGTGGATGAATTACCTCTCTTGGAGCTACGGTCTGGTTGTACTGTCTGGTTTCTTCTCTGCTGTGTCAGGAATGTGTCTGTTTGTGCTGGCCATGGTCTTCAAGGTCAGTCAACTATGATTTACTTACTGTAGAGTTTTGGTAAAGTCGATAAAAAATTGTATAGTCACTTGAACTTTATCAAACAATGGTGTTAAGGTTGGCTTATTATACCTCATTGTTTTTTTTTCTTTGCATGGGGGTTATTAATTGTCTCTGTCTAGGCTTATGATTATCAACATTGGAGATGATGTCATGTTTGATATAATACTTAAACTTGATATTTCAGGATAAGGAGGATAATGGTGATCCAGGTGTGACGTCTGCCGCCGAACTTGCTCTGAGACGCAGAGAGCTCGAGAAGCAGGACGAGGCCATGAGGGCCCAGCCGATGGAGACCCAACATTACGGTGGGCCGACCTACAGACAGCCACACTACCAGCAGCAGGCCGCCACCATCGACAGGGACAGAACAGACTACGGCAAGGCTCCTTCATTGGTCAGCGCATCTCATTACGGCAAGGCCCCAGTCCCAACTCCTTCAGTGGCGGGATCGCAGGCCACGAGGGTGGGCGAGTCCTTTGTTTGATGAAAGTGTGGCACAGTTACGGTTTTTTAATGCATGAATGACTTGGCTGATTTTCAAAGTGCTCACTTTTTTTGTCAAAAACTTTTTTCTTTTTTAAAAACCCTTAAACGTCCCAACCCCCCCCCCCTCCACTCCCTCCCACTTTGAAGTGGGGGATGATTCTGTGCAGATTCAAACCATTTTATACTTCCAGTAAACAGCTGTAGATGACACAGTTTTTTTTTGTTATTTTTTAATTGGTGTACTGTAAGATAGGAAATTTTATCAATGGGTTTTGTTTGCCCTGTGAGTATGTTTAAAAGGGACATTTGCAAATGGAACTTTGACATCGACACATTTAGATAATTTCGTGCAAGGAGATTATACTCAATAACGTTAGATTGACTTGCTCTATGCTGTTGTTGACTGAAGTGAAAAAGAGATGAACCGTCGGCTGGATGTTCTGACAATGCCATTCCAATCTGTTTATAATAACTCATGCGTTTCTTGAACATTCCATACAAGTTTTGTTCAGCAAAAAGTGATGTGTGGTGGTATGAAAGACAGCTCACTTACTCACATGTTTGTAAATAATATTCTTGTATATCCTCCTGTAAATAGTTCAATGTATATAGCATTTATTTTTTTTTAAAGATTTAATGCAGCACCATTTTGTAACTAATATCTTTCTTAGATCCATTCATTTTTTTTTTTTTCCATCGTTTCTGTCTTCTCCATGTTTTTGGTATCAAATCAGTGTTTTATAGAAGTTTGTTAATCTATAATCTCCTCTATTTATGAAAGTGTTAAATATTAGCTGATTTTTGAAATCCTGTGGAAATATTAATCAGAACTCTCTAATGTGTTGAGGGTTGTTTTAAGTTTAAGAGAGATTAATGGGGTGCAAGGGAAGGCAACTCTCAGTTGATGATTTATGCTGAGAGTTTTTTAAAATTAGTTCTAAATTTGTGGCTTGTTTGTTTTCATATTGCACCAAAGGCTGCTCAAATTGAAATTTCAGCATATTTTTTGTTGTCTGATTGAATTTGAGTATGTCATGATTGCGGATCTGATTTCATTAACATTCCTCATAGCCTCTTTGAGTTGTAAGCAATAGATTTTTTGTTTTTTAGGGACATCATATGACAATATTTTAGCTCTGTAAATAATTCATCCTATGCCTTATCAATGACATTAAAGATTTAACGCTAAAAGCTTGTCTGTGTTCAAATATTCCCTTTTCGTGTATCAACCAATTTGTATTTCATAAACCTCTTGAGAAGGCTTGTAAAAAGGGCTCCGTCTTCTTGGCACCAAGGCACAGATAGTCTGAAAAAGGCTCTGTATCAAGAGATCTAAACAAGGCTATCAAATTTGAAACTTCGACAAAAAAAAAAATTATCTCGATTCTGTGACATGTTCGAGACAGCTGGTAATGAGTTCATTAGGAGTGCTCACTAAAAAAAACATTAAAGCTACCATCAATAAATTAAAAAATATAAAAATTTGAGTCGCCGCCGTGTAGTTAAAGCTTTTCTTTATTTAAAACAAACAGCTTTCAAGCAATATCGTTTTTTCTGAAATATCCGAAGAACAGTCCTAATTGACAGAAGGGGTAGAGCAGTCGCCAAAGCCGTATGGCACTGCGCAAGGAGTACGCTCTAAAATCGTCTGCATCACCAAAGTGCAGTCCCTTGGGTTGTTCTTGCACACACCCGTCTGGCAAAGGCGATAGAGCTGCGCCTGGAAACTGTCGCTGAAGTTATTATCAGCCAGACATTTGCGGAATGCAACATCCTTATACAACGGACTGCAAGCTTGGACAGCCTGAACAATAGTAATAAGACAACGGAAAAAAATAACAAATCATTTTTAAACCAATTTTTTTTTTTTTTAAATGTCCCCATTCATCCCTTACCCCCCTTTTTATTTCCGCATACGCCATCAGTTGTTCCTTCTCCACTGCCGCTTGTGTGCTTCATTTAATTCCACCTCCCCATTGTGTTGTAACCCATTTGTTACTTCCCCCACTGCTCCTGTGTTTCCCAAGTTGTCTATTTCCCACCCGCACTCCGTATCCACCCAGTTGTTTATTTCGAACTGCCCCCTTTATTCTCTTCCCCCCCCCCCCCCCCCCCATTGTGTGCTTCATTTAATTCCCCCTCCCCCTTGTGTTGTAACCCATTTGTTACTTCCCCCACTGCTCCTGTGTTTCCCAAGTTGTCTATTTCCCACCCGCCCTCCGTATCCACCCAGTTGTTTATTTCGAACTGCCCCCTTTATTCTCTTCCCCCCCCCCCCTCCACCGTGTTCCTCCACCAGTCGTTTTTATATCCAACTTCCCCCCTGTGTGTCTTCCATTGAGCGTCACGTTACCTGCAACTGAGCCGCCTCATCCTGACAGATCGTCTTGAAGTCTGAGTTGACTTTGTCGCACGTGTCATCTAATGACTCGATTTGTCTGGCCAAAAAAAAAACAACGATGAATTGTCATCACATTACATGTAAACACGGCTGTGTGAAGCTGGGTGTCATTGATGTGCGATGTCTTACAGTGGACGTCGTCGGACCGATCAGTACCGTTAGCTGATGTCTACCATGAATGTCCCGTGGGCTTATGTCTACCGTGAATGTCCCGTGGGCTGATGTCTACCGTGAATGTCCCGTGGGTTTATGTCTACTGTTTATGTCCCTGGTTAACACAACGTTACTGATACCCCACCCCCCTGTATTAGAATAGTCAATTTGACTTAAAAATTATAGCATTTAATCTGTTTCCGAATATTTTCTTTAGTCTTGATATAGAAAGTAGTTTACGTTTTCATACACGTAAAAAAAGTAAAGGGAGCGGGAATAATTATTTAAAAAATCAATAATTTTACTCTTCGAGTTAAGGTGTCATTGTCTCCTTAGGAGCTGTGCACATATTATAGAAAACAAAAACAAAATTTGACATTTTTACCCATCTTAAATCATAGCATTTCCATTGACTAACCCCTTAATATAATATAGCCTGATCTAAGCGATATATTAATTATTTTTAAAAAAAAATAAAGCTGATTCGCTCGCTCTATTGACTTGCTTAATTCTCTCACTTTAGTTAGATGTGGTTAGAACGACAAGGCTGACTTTTATTTATTTTTAAAATAGACACGAAGGCTTCCCTATGAAATAAACAGTTCATATCACGATTAACGTCTGATAATCATATCTCACATAAAATAAAGTATTTTTCTGCACGCCCCCTCCGTCCCCACTCCCAACCCCGCCTCCTCCCAACCCAGCCCCTCCCTACCCCCGCCCCCTCCCAACCCAGCCCCTCCCTACCCCCGCCCCCTCCCAACTCCGCCCTACCCTCGTGTACTTAAGAACTAATGACAGCCACGTGTTTGAATTCCACGATTCTCATAAATCTGGCGTTAAGTTCGCACATGCTGAGACCACATCCTATACCACAGACGCACCATTTCAATCACTTAGTCAGGGTACGCGCCGCCCGAGGCGGGCAAAGATTTTTTCCTCCCCTTTTACGATAAAAAAACAACCCTGAGCAAAAATGAACAATTCGCCCCC